TTTTTTTTATAAATTCAGCTCCTTAAGTGGTATTAACTCTCTTTCTATAAGCTTCTCTCTCTGTCCTTCCTCTGCTTCTCATGGTCAGTCTTGCACATAGGTTTGTATATTTTCAATCCTCTAAGGATGACGATGTTTTCTTTATGCTGATCAACCAACACATTTTAAATCATTTCAAATTGTTGTGCCAAGTCTTGACATTTCCAAAATTTCAAAATTTTGATACTTATTCAATACCATCTTCCTCAACATTTTACTTCCCATCCTTGAGCTACTCATATTTTCTTCAACCAGATAAGATTCAATTTTTTCTTTGTAATTTCTTTTCTGATTCAGCTAATTTTATATTGTTCAGCCTATGCTGTGAACCTTGGCTTAATTTTGCTCTTTTTCTGGACAGGAATTAAGCTTTTCTGTTTGCTGCTAATTCATAACATGCCTGACATGTTTCTGGGCAGTAGGTGGCCCCACTTCAAAATTTCTTTAGAAATTTTTCTAGAAACTTGATAGACATTATATTAAGACCCTTCTAGTGCACATATTAATGACATTTTTGATATTATGTATGGTTTGGCTGTGCAGCTTTTAAGATGAGTTTCTTTCTGCCATTTTAGTGCCAAATAATTCTACCCTACAAAAATCTTCAGATGATTCAATTGTTTTCTGCAGTTTGAAGTTTCTGATTACTTCCTATCACATTTTCATATGTTCTGCAGTTAATTTCGGCTTTATTCATTCAGCAAAAGCATTCCCACTTGCTGTTTCTCCGAAACAGCTTTTTCTAGTTTTTTTTTAACTCTTCCTTCTGTTAAATTAATTATTTTCTTGATTATTTATGGATTTAACTCCTTCGGCCAGATGGTTGCTCTAATTTAACATCATCAGAACATCCCAACTCCATATCAGTTCACCCTTACAACCATTCCGCTCTGTGTTGTCTATATCCGTTTTCTAAGAAAACACACCAAGCATTTTACCCATAAAAAAGACAAGTCAAGGTCAGACTCCTAAGATTTCAGATGGAGTAAAGACAATGGGCAAAACGAGATGGAGGGCTTACAGAGAACTACACGAGGAAAAGGAATCACCAGGAGCTAAATTCCTAATTCGGTCATGTGACCTACTGAGGCGCTGTAGGATGCTGTGACGTCAGTTTAGTCATTTTACATAGCGACTCAATATTTATTTACCTTTCTGATTGAGTTTTTATCCTTTAACGAGGATGAATACCAAGCAATCAGAGTCTTAGTGGTTTTATTAATGCTCGCTGGTTTAATCACTGCTGCTAAATGTTCTTTGATCTTATGCAGCGCCGCTGGAAGTTCATTATCTTTCAGGACATTTTCCAGGTGGTTCTGTGCTTTAATTGATTTAAACCAGAGCCTAACCTTTTGTTTAAAGTGGAGGATCACGGGATTCGATTTGGTTCTGTGGTGGCTGGGTTCAGTTCGATTAGCAGAGTGAAGCACTGCTGTGCCTGGATGGAGAAAGCGAGCGGTCCAAGTATCGGATCCTTTCTGCTGTCTGGGTGGGAAACATTGCCCTTCGAATGTGGTTTTTACCCGGTTCGACACATGGCTCCGGGCCGGTGGGGTTCGAGCCGTGGATCTCAGTCTGCGGTAACGGTTATATGTTATTCCATTACGATTTGGAAATCCGTCTGAAACTAAACTAAACTGGGCAATTAGCTAGGGTTAGTTGTTTTATGAAGTAAAATATTTCATAAAAAAAATAAACGATGCTTTGAATCAACTTTATTGCCATCAGGCACATTATTAGAGCTATACAACAGAGAAAACAAGCCGTTGCAACTTTGGTATATTGAATCCAACTGATGCTGTGAGAGTAGGATTGATGATAAAAGAATCTGCAGTCAAGTGATCCAAACATAGTTCACTGTATCAGTTTGGACGCCACAGATTGTCCTGTTGACTTTTGTCTAATCCATTTACTTTCCAGATTGAAATATGATGCAAACCAGATAATTAAACATTCCCTTTCCCGATCCAAAGCCATTCCTACAATTGGCAGCTGTACAATAGACCATTGTAATAACATTTTAACGATCCTTTCAGGGTGCTTAACAATGCGTAAAGTTGTGGTTCTATATAGCCGCCCGAGGACGTTTGACTACACTGACGTCACAGCTGGGTTTCATCACGTGGCTGCTCTGGAGGCGGCCAGCATACTGTCCAATTCTCTTGATTTTTTTTCATACATGGAGCATTTTGTTTTTGTACGATTTAGACCAGCCACATAGAGAAAAGAAAGGATCAATCTACCATTAGACGTGATAAAACTGCACTAGAAGCACTCATTTCTATTTGAACTTTAAGGAGTTCTGGAGCATAGAGCATATCGACATAGGAAATACGATTTTTTATTTAATTTTTTGACCTTAAATGCAAACTCTTTAAACTTTTTTTTATATCTTGGTATGATTAAATCTTTAAGTGGTTTGCTGAGTCAGCTAAAGGTATGTTTTAGAGCAGGCATCCCCAAACTCGGTCCTCAAGGCCCCCTGTCCTGCAGGTTTTAGAGGTTTCTCTGCTTCAGCACAGCTGATTATAATGATTGCAGTAGACCCAAACCCTGTTAATCAGCTTTCAATTAAAATCAGCTGTGCTGGAGCAGAGAAACCTCTAAAACCTGCAAGACAGGGGGCCTTGAGGACCGAGTTTGGGGATGCCTGTTTTAGAGTCTCTCCATTTAATGATTAATCGATTACTAAATTAGTTGGCGATTATTTCAATGATTGATTAATCCGATTAATTGGTTCAGCCTTATTTGGATCTCTCACTTATTTCACCAGAGAAAATCACAAAGAAAAAGTGTTAGGACTTATTTATACCCTCTGCACATCGAAAGAGGATGGTTTGTGCCTCTAGAGCATCTCTTACGATCTTATCTGTTGTAACTCCGTCTCAATCTTCTGGCCGGTGTTGCGGAAAATCTGAATGGCAGCCTCTGCCACTTTGTCGTCCTCCATCTTCAAACACTGGAGCAGAGATTCGTAGGTCTCAGCTGAGTGGAATGCTGTGGGATGAGTGAATGACAGGACCTACAATCATAAAAAACAAAACAAAAGATATACAAACACTTTTTGATCAGTAAACTTTGCTTCAGTTTTCTTGTAGTCATTTTGAAAGCTGCACAGTTTGTTCAAATATTCTGAACGTTCCACACATCTCATATTTGTTTTCCTCTCCCACATATACCTTAAGCAGCTCGAGCCCAGAACGGATTGCTGTATCAGGGGTAACACCTTCCTCCTCATCGTCAGCTGTTCCCTCAATGGACTTATTCAGCAGCTTAACCAAAGCACTACAGCAAGAGTAACATGTTATTAGCAAACAAAAGAAACCATTAAATCATGTTTTTATCTCATTATTCTCCTAAAACAGCATAAAGCAAATAATCAGCCAGTTTTTCATCTCTTATAGTATTTTTCCATTAAACAAATAGGGGGAAAAAAAAGAAGAAAAAGGCCCAGATTGGGTCTTGCAGTTTCCTGTTTGCACCACTAGATGGCTCAGTAAATGAGAAAGATTGGTTAATGGACCTGTTACACAATACAAACACAGATAGCATTATAAAAGCACTTAGTTACAGAGTAAACAGAAGCTGCAATGCTTGTCTGGATCTATTTTAGTACTCTCTATAAAAAAAAACAAAAAAAAACCACATAGTATCTATTTTAAATTAGAAGGTTTCTGACCTGATGGCTTCAGAGTCGATGTGAACCGGTGCGATCCGCTCCAGCAGGAACTTGACCATCTCTAGGAAAGGATTGGTGGGCTGTTTTGGGAATGTCAGCTTGCGAGTAATTTCCCTCTGCACAAAATAAAAATTACAATAAATACAAAGATTCCCCGTTCTCATCTTATATAGCTTACATAATTTATTAAAAGGCTTTGCATCGTTTGATGACCACTAATGCTTTTAAGTGCGACAAAGAAAGCCAAACTAGAGCCAGGTCTGGCATCCAACATAAATTCCTAGCCTTTAAGACTTGAGTTACAGCAGACCTGTTGACATAAACTACGTTGGTGTGTGTTAATCAGAACATTTGTTCCAGCAGGCATAGAGTGTCTCCTCACCACACAGATCTCAGCCTGCTTGCAGGAACACGTTGGACTGATGAGCATCTCCAGCTGGATTCTGAGCTTCTCATCTTCACTCAGAACCTGGTTGAATTTCTTCATGAAGTCCTGGGCCTTCCCGGCATCCGGTAGGTTCTCTGCAACACAATCCTCAAAGTTATAGTCGCACCTGGGTTGAGGATTACATCTCGTCACCAAAAGTATTCACAGCCCTTTAATTCAATATTTCGCTACATTACTTTGTCAGAAGTCAGTGTTTTTAAGTATGTTTTTATATGATAAACCAACATAAAGTAGATGCAATATAACAAAAGCTTTGTTTTCTTTTATAACCTCTTTCTGATATGAGAACGATATCACAGTTTAAAGTATTGGCTGAACCTGACATGATATCAGCACAAATCAAACATTTATTATTTATTTTATAGATTATAGAAAAGGCTTAATCAAGTAATATTACTCCGAGAACAATAGTAAACAACAATATATATTGTTGTTCGGATGTCAAGGGGTTTAAGAAGTAGAAGTTGAGGTGGATGCAGTTTTTCTATTTTGGGACATGTTTATTCATTTAACTGAAATTAGTATAAATGCTATTGTCATTTGACGAAACAAAAGACTCCAGACAGACACTTTTAAGGAAATAGATGTAGTCCTAACTATTTAAAGTTTAATGGCCCTTGCAAGAAGAACAACTGACCCTTTTATCATTAATCTTTGGGTTCCCTAAACCTGAAACAGAAGCTGATGATCAGCCCACATATACCAGAGATTTTAGACGCAGGCCGACCTTATTTTATGTTTGTTCCCTAATAATCTAAAGGCTGCGGTAAATTTGGATCTCTTTATTCTGATGCTGTGCAGTTTAATCAGTGTACTCACAGCTGTTCTGTAAAGGCAGAGGTTAGAGAATCTCAGTAAACAAACTGTATGGTGGAAAAGAAGGAATATAGGCAGGTCAGGGAGAAAGAAGTGAGGAGGACTGACACAGAGGGGGTTATTAAACAATACCTCAAGCTTTTAACGTTTAACAGAGCCCCGTTCAATCGATCAAGTGTATAGCACAACTGTACAATGATAAAAGGTTGCAGGGCATGTTTTTATGGATCAGCAGCCATAACTCTAGCTAAATGTGGTTCTATAATGCACTAAATCAGGTCAGATAAATACTATTACACTTCCCTCTTTTTTAGAATTCACATTAACAAAAGAAAACCATGTTGTTTCTATTCTACTTTCATTTATGTGTTGATCACATCAAATCCCATCAGGTTTGTGGATGTAAAGTTTCCTTCCAACTTACTTGCGATACTCATAAGCTTCCCCAGCATCGCGGTGGTGTTGGCCTCAGACTAGCAAAAGGGAGAAGGAAACACGTTATAGATCCTTCTTATTTTCCAAAATCCTGAAACGTAAAGGAAGGACCAACTCACCACTGGCATCTTGTGAAGATCGAGCAGCTCTTTTACGAGACTTCTGAGCATGTTCTGACACTTCCACATCTCATTCAGGGCCCTGGAAGAAAAGATCAAGAAGAAATAGAGAAATGAAAGTCGGGAATCAATACGCTGCTGTTATCCAGACTTGCTGCCCTTTCATGGTATGACCCTCGGTCTGCAGGTGGACAGAGGGTTGATGGTTTTCTCTCAGTGGTTTCAGATCAATATTTATGCGCAATAGTTGCATGTATAAATGCATGTTTAGTTTACAGATGAAAAATGCTAAATATTTACTCACTTGACGGCATTAGTGTCCAGGCAGGCATACAGGTAGTACAGACATTTCATCTTCTCCTCTGTGTCCAGACTGTGAGGGACCATATACTGGGCAAAAATCTTCTCCACTAGCAACCTAGAAAAGAAAAGTTTCATATAAAAAAAAAAAAAAGATTTAAAAGAAAGTATTTTACAGTCTGATAGGTCAGGTTCCCCGTATTTGATGTGACTGACTGGTGAAGATGCACCAGAAGCCTTGATATAAAATCACCTTATGATAAATGTAGAATTTATTTAGTGCAGGAGATCCCACTATAATAAACCTCCTGCTGATTTTTTCCACATACAGCCCAAAACTTCTCTGTAACTTTCCACTTGGAGCAAACAGTCAGTCTTCTCTTAGACCCATCTTAAAGGTTCCCTATATAACCAAGGAGCACGGTTGATTTTATACATATGTATCATTGCTGTGTTCAAATTTGGAGCCACAATCTTAATTAAAGACGACCCTTGGTCATTTTACAGGTACAGTAAGCCACTTAAAATCTACTAGGATTTCAAACTGCAGTTTTGGCACTGCAACAATGTTCAAAGGGCCTTCAGATGAGAAACGGGCCCACAGCATCACAGATCCTACACTGTACTTCACAGATTACTCCATTTTTTTTCTTTAGTTAATCTGTATTTGTTTTTTTTTTATCAAACCCAGGTTGGCTAAAATAAACAGTCACAGCAGCTTTTAGCAGCTTCACATGTTTATAATCTTCTCTAAATGCAACAAACCCTTAGCTTACAAATGAGATCCAATCCAACCGCTTGATGGAGACTTGGTGCCATCCTTATCATTACTTATGGAGAAATTAACATAAATTATTTTAATTATTGCTCAAATTAATTTGAGTACATTTTATGGGAGAAGTTAATTTCTTGCAGCCATTTCTTGATTTATAAAGCTAGCACAATTTCACCTAATTTAAGGCCTGTTCTCTAACTGTTATTTTGCAGAGGGACTAAGATGAACAGGCTTCTCTGTCATGTGATTGGGGGTGGGGGAATACAGTATGTTTGCTCTCACTTGTCATCGATGCTGTTCTGATAGTAGATGTGCAGCAGTTTGTCTTTGATCCAGCTGATCTTCTGGGCCGACTCCTTTCCAGCCTCGTGGTGCAGACAGTATTTCTTATAAAGCTGAGCCAGGCCCATCATGGCCTCTTTACGCACACGCCACTATAGAACAAGGGATACAAAATGGAAGAGATTAACAAGGGGATAAAAGTTACAGGAAGTAGATAAACTTGTGTTTGTTCCAAAGGAAATATAAAGTTATTGCATATTTATATGGATTTTTATAGATTCACATAAAAAAAATGATTTGTTTAGATCTCCTGGATACATGGCAACATTCAAATTGTGTTAAAAAGTATTATATATTATTGTACATATAAACAGAAAATCCCAGACAACAAACTTTTGTTAGAATGAAAAAAGTTCTCCAGCTCTAGTTCCCTACCCTCTTGTCCAGAGTCCTTTCCCGCACAAAACCCAACAACTGGTCATTGACCAAGTTCAGGTCCTTCTTTCCGGCGTTGATGATGGTGACAATGACATCGTGTCGGATGGCTTCTTCCGGGTCGTGGGAACGCACTTTCAAATATTCTGCAAAAGTTACGACATTAAAACCTCGTCTTCAGTTAAAGCAGCTGACGGGAAGATTACGAAAAGATCAAAAGAAATCTACATGAATCGAGCAACAAGCCACAAACACAACTTAAAGCCCACCTGTCAAGTCTTTAGCCAGGTCAGGGTGGTTCATAAGGCAGTGGCTAGCGAACTTTACACACTCTAGTCTGACTGGTACATGGATGTCGTTGAACCTACAAAATAATTTAATTGAATGAATTATATATTTTACACTGTTACAAGCAAAAAAAAAACAAAAAAAAATCAGCACATACATAAAAAATGATTAAACCTCATCTGCAAAACACTTAAAAATAACGACAGGGTAAGATAAGTGTCAATAAAAAACATCATAATTAGATATAAAAATCTAAAATTTACAAGTATTAATCTACAACCTGACGAAGCAGTTACTCTCCTTACCAGTTGGTGGCGGTAATGCATCTGTTTCTATTTTGCTAATTGTGTTGCAAACTTCTGAACTTCCACTCTCAAAGAGGAAACAGCGAATGTCTTGTATGTAAGAGTTGATCAAATACGTTAATCGATTTACCTTCTACAAATTTAGATACCAACGTCTATATTTCGACAGGCAGTTACCATCACACCCTATGAAAAAGTTAAACCTATTTTTCTAAATTTCGATGTATAAATCTTTTAAAACACCATCAATGCTGAGGTGACTCACCGTCCTAAGAAACATTGCCACAGCGGTCTGTTCTGTGATGCTAGCTCTGAGTCTTTGGCCCCAAATAATTTTGCAAGCAACCGTACAACCGCTAGACGCTCCTCTCCGTCGTTGCTCTGCACACAACAAAACCAAAACCATAAATCATTCTTTAACATTTTTTATTCCCCCCCCCCATTACTTTTTTTCTCTCACAACAAACAAAACAGCATACATTTTTTACAGTTCTCAAAAAAAAAAAAAATAAATTCATACAGAAAAGGGAAGGGGTTAGTAAAAATGATTTAAATGTTGATATTTATTCTACAAGAATACGAGGGAAAAAAAACATGTCTTTACTTTATCAAAAAGTTTTGTCTTTTTGTTTACCATGCATAAGGCATCTCATTTGCGCTTCTCAACATATATAAAGGTGAAACTTTTAATCCATAAACCAATCGACTTTTTATTGGGCATTGATGATCCCTGTATGCTGTTTGTAAAAGTGCTCTGTAGATTATTCTTTTTCCTTGTTTTGTCTAAATCTGTTTCTATAAAGCCCTGAAATGCAGGCACATAATAAAAAAACAAAAAAAAAACAACAAACTATGCTAAGCTAATGCTAAGCTGACAATATGATAGAAATCATACATTAGGAGTCTTGGTCTAGTGGTTAGAGCAGTGCGCTTGTCCTCTGAGAAAGTTACAAGAACCCGGTTTGATCCACTCTGGGTTCCTGAGCAAGACCCTTAACCCCACACTGCTCCCCAGGCGCTGCACAAATGCAGCCCACTGCATCCCACGGGGATGGGTTAAATGCAGAGTTTCCCCAGTGTGGGAAAATAAAGGGATTTACATTTTAAAATACTGCATTTCTTCGAACACTGAAATAACCCGAATCTTTCTTTCAGCTTCAAATGGAAACACATCGGCTGTTTTTATTTTATCTTTATTTATAGCTATTATCTTTTTCTTCCCCAAAAACTGCTGGAATGCAGAATTTCAAAGGGGGTTCAAAAATAAAGGAGTGCTTTCTATCCTGCTTTAAATTTGGTAAAAAAAAAAAATCAAATATTCATTAAGCCTTAAAGAATTATTCAGGCTAATTGATTATTGAATTAACTGTTGACAAATTAGAAATTCAATAATCGCTAACTGGATTGTTCAGAATCTTAAACAGAAAGGCTGTTTTAAAACAATAATTAAGACAAAACTTTAAAAAATAAATTTAAATAATGTTGATTTTACAAGGGAAAATGTTAATAGATTCATTAATAAAATGGAAAACTGTTCACAAGGAAAAATTGATTGCTGCAGCCTTAAAATCTCTACAATCGAACTGTGAGGATGAGGGTTGGACGTGGATACAGTTTTTCTTACCTTAAGCTTGAACTCCAGCTGAGGCATGACAGAGATCAGCAGCATGGGGTCGATGGCAAACAGCTCCTGGATGAGGTCAAAGACGTGCTCTGACAGGTCGCTGACTGAGGACTTGCCCATCACCAAAACCTGATTGAAGAACTGTGAGAGAACATGGAAGCACAGAAGGAGGGGACCAAGTGGGAGACGACCGATTAATACACGACTTGGTGTCATACGGAGAGGAGAGTTACAGAACCAAGGACAAACAGCCAATATGAGGAATGAAAAAAACTATAAAATCTCACGTTTGCAATGCACGTCTCAATGGTTTGGACCGTCCTCTTCAGAAGAGTCTTGGCGAGATCGTAGGCTTGCTTGTTCAGATTCTGATCCGAAGGAAAGATGAAAAAAATAGTCTAAAATAAAGCGTGTTTTGCTTTGACTTCAATCAGAGAATTTCTCAGCTTTTTGACTGCATGTCAGCACTGGATTGTGTTTTGTTACATTTCTAACACAAAAACAAACTAAGTTCATTTTTCCTGAACTATTTTCTAAATTTATCATCTTTCGTTCCTGTATGCCTATAAATAAACCTGGATCCCACCTGAATTCTTTCTAATAAAACCGTCCCACCATGCTCACCTTGTGTGCAGGTATGAGGTTGATTAGAATTGTGTCCAGCAGCTCTTGTGTGACTCCGTCTCCCTCCATGATGATAGAACTCATCAGATCCATCATGTGCATCTGCACCTTCTGGTTATGGCTGTTACTGATGAGCAGAGGAAGAGACGAGCTCCCAAGTGTTAACGCCATCAATAGCTTCATGGTAAAATACAAACTGTTGTTCCTGAATGGCGTCATTGGGTGAACTCATTGGGGTAAATACAGGAAACAATCTTTTTTCAAAAGAAAGATGCTACGTTCAGACCTAAAGCAGCAGAGGCAGCAGGAGCAGCTAGTTTACATGCAAAGTCAATGGTTGACGCACATCAAGGCGCAGCAAAACATCCTGTAGAGCGTTTTGAGCAGCGGGCGCAGCGTGTCTGAGCAGCTGAAGCAGCGCGTCGTGCAAACGCAGCAGCTGCTGTAGTTGGAGAAATTGAACTTTGGCTGCTTGACGTGCCACATCAACCAATCAGAGAAGCTGATCTGGGAGCTGGCAGGGAGGCAGACACAACGCTGATGATACAGATCACTATGATCAGTCCTCTGAAACAGTTTTTTTTAACGCCTAATTTAACTTAATATGCCGAAATGTGCCGGCAAAACATGTCCGCTTTTATTATCCTGGTTCCCACAGTTTGGATTACGTACACAAAAAACGCCTTCCAGCCGCCGCGGCAAACCGGGCCAGAGGCTGCCGTTGAAAGGGATTCCTAGTGGCAGTGCAACACCAATTATGTGGGGGTCTGAGCGGCTCAGACAGCGAAATAATATTTGAAGGCAGGATGTAATCTTCATGAACTGACTGCACAGATGGGAGTTTTCAGGTGGACTTTCTCACTTAAAAACATATTAAAACTACTTTTTACCCACTGATCACAGCAAATATAGCTGCCATTGTTACAGGCAAAGAAAGGACAGGGTAGCTCTGCCCAATGCGCATCAGAACCACTTTTTCCACCGCGCAGCTGGAGCAGCCAAGATGCTTCAGCCGCGCGTCAGAACTAAACTGACAAGCATCAAAAATGAAGCAGCACGTTTTTGCTGTTCCTGCCGATTGCGCTCTGAACGTAGCATGACCCATTTTATAATATTATCACTGAGAATACATGCATTTGTTTAAAAAAAGACAAGAATTAAAATAAAAGATTGAGCCAAAAACATTTAGAACACAAATGCTCCTTTTTTTGAGACTCCTCTTAAACAAAATATGGATTTTCTTAAAATACATAATTTTATTGATTAGCAGGATAATTTACTTCACAATTAATGATTTATTTATTTTAAGTCAAAGCCCTTTTATTTGGTATCTAGCATTTATTTTATACAATTTTCATGTTATTAGAGGAAGAAATGTAAAGAACACAAAAAAGGAGAGTTCTCATTTAACAATGAATAAAATAAACCTCATCTCATTTTCTAATACCTAATACTGAACATCCTATCTTAAAGCTTGAATATAAGCAGCCCATGAAAGATTCAACAACCAAGCGACTTACTTTATAACAGAGAAAAGAGTTTTGAAGAGTTGGATAAAGATCTCGTTGCAGTCCTCCAGTTCGAAGCAGATATTGTATGATTTCACCCACGCAAGGTTCTGATGGAAACACAAACATTAAGAATTACTCTTTAGGCCTCGATATTAAACATATTCCCCTGATCTATAACAGAGAAATCTTTAAATAATTGAAAATCAAATATTTGTCCTCGAAAAAAATGTATTTTGCAGTAGATAAAAAATATTCCAAAAAGTTGATTCACTGAACTTTGATTCCAAGTTTAAAGACATTTTGCTTCCCATCCAGGAAGCTTTTTCAATTCAAAATGTCAAAAATAGCGCTGAGTTTAAGGCTTTATAGAGTGGACCAAAACAAAGCCTTGTTTTGGCTTAGAAAACATACAAATTGAATGGCACGAACGGGTCCGCCTCTTAGGAATGGGGAGCAGTTTTGGTTCTTTGTTAGCCTGCAATACCGGATACTGGTCATTAGGGGGAATTGGGAACGGGAAGCAAAACGTCTTCAAACTTGGAAACAAAGTCCAGTGGATTGTTTTGTTTTTTTCACTTTTTTGGAATGACAATGCCCTGGATGACTGAAAATATTCACGATTAGATTAAAAATAGCCCAATCCTTAAACTACTTTTTCTTTAATCCTTTGATTTTTACAAATATTGAAATTTACCTCCAACAGATAGAAATATCTGTTGAACTGAGGGCTCTTGGTGTCTTCTAGTCCCTTTAACTGTCTGGTGATGAACAGAAAGATGTCCTGGAGGAGAGAAAAGCATCTGATTAATTTCCTGTGGTTTTAAAGGGAGCAGGAAGGCTTTATAATATGGTTAAAAGGAGGCCTGTAGAAGTTTAATGGATGCAGGTTTTAATCATACGCCACAGTGCAAACAGCCATCATTTCAAAATGCTGACATGAGCTCGACGTGGAGGAATAATGAAAGATTATACAATATTAGGGATCTAATGCTGACCTTCAGCTTGTCGTGGGAGGTGTAGGGCGCCTCAGGAGCATATATCCTAAAGATGTCCGCCAGACAGCAGGCCACCAGGAGCCGAACGTCTTTATTGGGGTTCCTCAGGAAAAACTCAGAGGCGAGGTGGAGCGCCAGTCCCAGATACTGCTGCTTCTCCTCCTCGGAGTCTTGGTCCATGTCCATGTAGGTCTTTACCACCATCTGTGAGACACATCAAGGATGGTCATATTAGAGCGCTTCTATCCAAGGACCTTTAGGGTATTTTCAAAGACAATGCATTTGATATGGACGTTTGCAAATAACCGCTACAACACAAAGCAAAACTGCCCCTGATTAGTAATTTTTCAGTTGTAAAGCAACCCTTTTTTCTTGTGTTTTAGCATCTGTTTTAGTACTTCCTGTTGGTCAGCTCACATAATACTGCAACAGAATGCAGACCTCACGAAAATACATAGAATTACTTCACTCTAGATAAATGTATGCACATCAAGAGAAATGAAAATATTAGGGAGGCAACTAACAATTATTTTGTAAATTGATTAATCTGTTGATTAGGGTTGGGAATTGAAAAGATTTTCACGATTCCGATTCCCTTTTCGATTCTATGAAACGATTCGATTCTTTATCGATTCTTTTTTCGATTCCAATTTGGGGGAAAAAGGAGAACAAACAGTTTGATTATCAGCATCAACTTTGTTTACTTAACTATTGCACAATCTTACAAAATCAACAAGATCAAGATGTCCACAGGAAATGTGAAACTGGAGTAACATCTGTGTTTAAATGAAAAATGAATACAAGAACAAACTTAATAACCAACAATGTCTAATAATAAATGATGGGATAATAACCTATTTTAAATAACAAAAAATACTAATTATAAAACAGTAGTAGGGAAAATTAACAGTTATTTTGCAGAAAGATGAGCATATCTGCTTTTTCTGGAAGGATACGGGATCTTTCAGCGCTTAAGGTGTTTCCAGCCGTGGAGAACACCCTCTCAGATGGGGTGGAGGAAGCCTGCACACAGAGGTAGTTTTCAGCCAGACCAGATAGCAAGGGCAGCGTATCTTGCTTGTTCCACCACCACAGTGTGGCGCTATCCCTGCAGGGGATGGAGGGCAAGCTTTTATAGAGCTGGATTTCCTGGTCTACCCTCTGGGCTAAGGAAAGACGGGGCTTTGATTCACAAAGTGACCGCAGCTCGTTGTCTTCCTCCTCGAATAGTTCTTCCAACTTGCGTAACTTGCATAACTTGCGTAACTTGCGTAACTTACGTAAAAAAACGTGACGTAAATCGTTCTCCCCAGAGCCGGCGCTCTAGGCTCTGGTGCTGCGGGAATCGAAAAAAGAATCGTTCAGCGAGCTGCCAAACGATGCCATGGAATCGGAAAATACGGAACTGGTTCTGAACAGGAACCGGTTTTCGATTCCCATCCCTACTATTGATAATTTTTTTTATTAATAATTTAATTAAATATTTTTTTACTAAATGAAACCAGGTGAAACTAAAATGTTTCCATCTGAGGCATTCTGGATTGAGCATATTGACAGATGAAAAGTTTTTTTTTATTTTTTTTATTTTAAATGCAAAATGTTTATATATTTTTTACAATTTGTACAATTTTACAAGCCAGCAATCAGCCCTGGGCCCCGTCTACGCTTTCAGGGCCCTCCCCCTGAAGACAGGGCCCCCTTTTTGACTGACAGCGCTTTGGGAAAGGCTCACTGATTCTGTGTGATTTCCCGCAGCCGCAGCGTCGATGAGAAGCAGTCGAAGAACTCCATTCTAACTGAATGGATTGGCATGGGGAGAAGCGGACCTCAAATAACGGCTAAGCGGCAGCTTTGGGACTGTTTAAGCTTCACGATGGTTTTACTTGCTCTGCTGTTTCGATCAGGTACCGCCGGCTACCTGGCTGCTACCCACCGGCTATCTGGCGGCTACCCACCGGCTATCTGGCTGCTACCCACCGGCTACCTGGCTGCTACCCACCGGCTACCTGGCTGCTACCCACCGGCTACCTGGCTGCTACCCACCGGCTACCTGGCTGCTACCCACCGGCTACCTGGCTGCTTCCCGCCGGCTACCCACCGGGCTACCTGGCTGCTTCCCGCCGGCTACCTGGCTGCTTCCCGCCGGCTACCCACCGGCTACCTGGCTGCTTCCCGCCGGCTACCCACCGGCTACCTGGCTGCTTCCCGCCGGCTACCCACCGGCTACCTGACTGCTACTTACTTGCCTGTTGAAGCAAAGCCCAAGAGGTTTTTCCAGTCAGCAGGAGCAACGTCCTTTTCCACAGACGGCGAGGTACTCATGGTGTCCCGGACGGGCGAGGCGATCAGCGGAACGGAGCTATCATGGCCCGGGAGCGGCGTGTCTACCTGGGACAGACCACGCATGCTAGCCACGCTGCGGCTACATTCCGGACTGGCACATCATCCCCTGACGGCTCCAGTCAACCATGGCGAGACCGGACCGCACCACTGTCGACCTATATACGGACGCGGATCGGCCATATCCCACAGATGGGGAGACTCCCTCACCAGCTCGTATCCACCCGGACCCCACCATGTTCACCTGCTGCAACTCCGCGGCGCTCAATCAGCACGTCATCAGAGCATGCCCAATACAAGGACTAATAAGCCACAATACTGGAGGGCTGGAATACGCGGAGTGGATTTCAGTCTTCTCCGCTCTTTCCCAAAATATAAGCCAGCCTCCAAAATAAAAATGGAACTCTTCAACACCCAATCACTAACAAATAAGAGCGGCCTGATATCTGACCGCATACTGGACAAAAACATAGATATAATGTGCCTCACCGAAACCTGGCACAAACCAGGGTCGTATCTGACATTAAATGAAGCTTGTCCTCCAGGATACACCTACCTGGAAAAGGCTCGGACCATCGGCCGTGGAGGAGGTCTTGCTGTTATTCATCACAAGGACCTAATTATAACTCCCCACCCACTGCTAGAGCTGACAACATTCGAATGCCTTCTCTTTAAATGCAAATCACAAATAGAAACAGTTTCAATTCTTCTCATTTATCGCCCTCCCAAACCACACCCCCAATTCATAAATGAACTGCAGGATCTCCTGACAACCCTTTGTGCAACAGCCAAAAACACACTTATACAGGGGGATTTCAATCTACATGTAGACTCCCCCACAAATCGCCCCGCTGCAGAATTTCTTGAACTCCTGGACTGTCTACATCTTACACAACATGTCACAGTACCAACACACACCAAAGGCCACACACTGGATCTGGTTATTACAGACAGTGCTTCCATCACCAATCTGCAGGTACATGATTTAGGCATGTCAGACCACAACAGCATCTCCATGGAACTGTCTTTAGCAGACCCGTACAATAAAACAAAACGTCAGATCCATTTCAGAAACCTAAAAGCAATAGATGGCAACCTCCTCAACCAGGACATACAAAACATCTCACTTGACCCACAGTTCACATCAATTAATGGATCTGTTAACTACTACAATTCCAGCCTCCATAATATCCTCGAATCTCATGCACCTCTAAAAACAAGAACAGTTCACTTTTCCAAATCAGCCCCCTGGTACACCATAGAGCTCCGCAAAATGAAAACTGCTGGCCGTGCCCTGGAGCGGAAATACACCTCCACTGGACTACAAGTTTTCAGACAGGCTTACCGTGAACATCGAACATCATATGTCAGAGCACTCACCACAGCCAGATCCCAATATTTCTCACAAAAAATCTCAAACAGCACTGGAAACCCAAAACAACTATTCTCAACAATACATTTTCTGCTCAAACCTCCCACACATGCACATGTCGATAATAGTACTAGTCAGTGTAACAGATTTATGGACTTCTTCAAAACAAAGGTAGCATCAATCCGGTCAGCCTTCCCTGTTACAGCCCCATCACTATCACCCGCTGACGGCACTCCCTCAACCCAACACAATACTTTCTCAGTTTTCTCAGACGTCACGCAGACAGAGGTGGAGAAGATCTTAAAAAGCATGAGGCCATCCACCTGCGTGTTGGACCCTCTCCCCACTGTACTACTAAAAAATCACATCACAGCCATCAGTCCATTAATCACAGCAATAATTAACCAGTCATTACACTCCGGTCAGGTTCCTCCAGCTCTCAAAACTGCAGTCATTCGCCCCCATCTGAAAAAGCCCTCACTCGACCCTGAAATCCTGGCCCACTACAGACCCATTTCAAACCTGCCATTCCTATCCAAAGTTCTGGAAAAAGTTGTAGCAGCTCAACTCCACAGTCATCTTCACACCCATAAACTATATGAAAAATTTCAGTCCGGTTTCCGATCAGCACACAGCACAGAGACAGCCCTGGTCCGCGTCATGAATGACCTACTCATGACTGCGGACCAGGGCTCACCATCACTCCTCCTCTTATTGGACTTATCATATGCCTTTGATACCGTTGACCACACCATCCTACTCCATTGTCTTCAGTCCACAGTTGGACTCTCTGGAACCACACTCAACTGGTTCCAGTCATATATCACGGGAAGGTCCGAATTTGTTGCCATAGGACAGTCCAATTCATCACCCCATACAGTCACCTGCGGAGTGCCTCAAGGGTCGGTCCTTGGGCCGACCCTTTTCACCATCTACATGCTCCCACTCGGTCAGATAATCAAAAAACACAAGGTATCTTTTCATTGTTATGCAGATGACACCCAGTTGTACATAAAAATGGACTCCACTTCTCCCACAGTTCTGCCATCTGCTTTTCACTGCTGCCTGGAGGAGATAAAGACATGGATGGCTGAAAACTTTCTACAGCTCAACAGCAGCAAAACAGAAGCCATTCTCATTGGCACCCCACACCAAACCAAGTCCTTCTCCCTAAACAGTATCCCTATCTTCGGTCAAAACATCCCTCTGTCCTCATCTGTTACAAACCTTGGTGTCAAATTGGATCCACATCTCACGTTTGACTCCCACATACGTCACCTCTGCAAGGTCTCTTTCCTCCACCTCAGAAACATTGCCAAACTCCGCCCCTCCCTTTCCCAACCCGACGCAGAAAAGTTAATCCATGCCTTTGTCTCCTCCAGATTGGACTACTGTAATGCCCTCCTCGTCGGGGTCCCTGGCAAAAGTCTACAAAAGCTGCAGCACATCCAGAACTGTGCTGCCCGGGTCCTGACGAGGAGGCGCAAACACG